GATCTTTTGGATTATTTACGTGTGAACAGTTTACAAGGAAAATGAAAAGGTATTAAAAATCAAAACGGTCCAAGAAAGCAAGTTTATTTACCCAAACCAATTTATGCCCTGGATAGAGTATTCAGTTATGGAACTTAATCCTGATTATGGAACTTAATCCTGAAGAGTGTTGGTTAAAGTAAGACTCCAAAATGGGTCTTTCTCCTTACAGAAAAACGCAGACTAATTTCCTCAACTTGTCTTCAGTAAAATTCACTATATACACTCACCGGAATTTGTTGAAACTACTCACAGAAACTGGCCTTGCAACATCTCAAGCCTCTATTGTTGACTTCTCAACCCTACATTTCCTTCCCCCTTTTAAAATTTAACATATTAAACCAACAAGAATAAAACTCAAGGTTCATAAAATGTTTCTTAAGTTTATGTAATATATCAAGTTTATTTGTTTTCTCTTCATAGCCTGGTTCACCGGGACCTGTAATTCCTGCTCAACCACATGGGAAAATACTCACAAAACCAGATCCCCATTGGGAGACAACAGTTATTGTATCAGAAGCTGAGAACAGTGTTCACCTAAAAACAGAGCTCCAACAAAAACAGCTATCAAATAACACCCAAGCACTTTCAAAGAACCATCCTCCTCAGCCACATGTTCGCAGTTCATCTGAGCAACTTTCACAAAAGCTGCCTTCTGCACCAACGAAGTTGCACTGTCCTCCATCACCCCACATAGAAAACCCTCCTAAGCCATCTACGCCTCACACACCTGTACAGCATGGTTATCTCTCACCAAAGCCTCCTGCACAGCAGTTAGGATCTCCCTACAGGCCTCATCATTCACAGTCACCTCAAGTTGGAACCCCTCAGCGAGAGCCTCAGAGAAATTTTTATCCAGCAGCACAGAACCTTCAAGCCAATACTCAGCAGGCAACTTCTGGAGCATTATTTACACAGACACCCTCAGGACAATCTTCAGCAACATACAGTCAGTTTAACCAACAAAGTGTGAACAGCACGGCACCCCCACCCCCACCCCCTCCGCCTCCTTCTTCGTCTTATTATCAAAACCAGCAGCCCCCTGCAAACTTTCAGAATTATAATCAGCTCAAAGGTAGTCTTGCCCAACAAACTGTGTTTACATCAGGACCAAATCAAGCACTTCCTGGCACCACAAGCCAGCAATCAGTTCCAGGACACCATGTTACTCCAGGGCATTTTTTGTCCTCTCAGAACCCCACCATTCACCATCAAACTTCTGCTGCAGTCGTCCCACCCCCTCCTCCTCCACCACCTGCTCCAGGACCACACCTTGTACAACAGCCGAATTCCCATCAGCAACACTCTGTAGCACATGTAGTAGGGGCAGTTCATGCTGTCACCCCTGGGTCACATATGCATTCTCAAACTGCTGGACACCATTTACCACCACCCCCTCCACCCCCTGGTCCTGCCCCTCATCACCATCCACCACCCCATCCTTCCACAGGACTCCAAGGTCTACAAGCACAACACCAGCATGTTGTAAATTCAGCACCCCCGCCTCCTCCTCCCCCTCCTCCGTCCAGTGTTTTGGCTTCTGGGCATCATACGACATCAGGCCAAGCTTTACACCACCCACCTCATCAAGGACCTCCACTTTTTCCTTCAAGTGCTCATCCAGCTGTACCACCGTATCCCTCACAAGCTACACATCATACCACTTTGGGACCGGGACCCCAACACCAGCCTTCTGGAACAGGGCCACATTGTCCATTACCTGTTGCAGGTCCTCATCTCCAGCCCCAAGGACCAAACAGTATTCCAACACCTACTGCTTCAGGGTTCTGTCCTCATCCTGGCTCTGTGGCCCTGCCACATGGGGTGCAAGGACCTCAGCAGGCATCGCCAGTGCCTGGACAGATTCCAATTCACAGAGCACAGGTGCCACCAACGTTTCAGAACAATTACCATGGTTCAGGGTGGCATTAAAATGGACTCCAAAAACATTTTTTAAAATGTTCTGTAAGATAAACTGTATATTTCATATGTACCTATTAAGGTACTTTTTAAAGCTTGTACATGAAACTTTGTATAAAAAAAAAAAAAAAACAAAAACCAGTGCTCTTTCATTGTATTTTTCCCATTTTTGCTTTTTAAAATTCCTTAAAAAAAAAAAAAAAAAATGTGCTAAGCCAGTATTAGGTATCTTTATTTTATAAGTGAACATTCCAGCTGTTTTCTGGCAATAGATTTGATGCTACATGATCTTTAAATTTTATTGTTGCAGTTAAATTCATTTAGTGAATGTTTTCTATATTATTTTCTACATATGCATTAAGTACACAGCTAAGTAATGGCACTATGAAGATTTTTTTTTTTTTTTTTTTTTGTCAGCAGTTCTGTGAGTGCAACTTAGGTATAAAATGCAATACAGATTTTTATAGTTTGGTGTGGACATGGCTCATTTTGTTTTATCAGTTATTTGCAAGCAGAATGTAATTTAATGTATAGATGATTTCTAATGTCTCCTGACAGACTGTAAATACTGCATTTCTTTTGCGTATATAATTGCTTACAGCTTTTTTCATTTGATATATAGCATTGTACATATGACAAGTCTTTTGCAAAACTGTGTGATCTTTGTGAAAGTAGTACAGTATATGACCTTTCATTTCTTTTTTATTTTTAAATATCCTGTCACATTGAAGCACTGGTTGGGCATTTTAATTCATGTTAATAAATCACAATTATGTCAGTTTTACCAGATTGTCCTGTACAACTTCTAAGATGGGGGTCTGCTTTCAAATATAATTTGTAAAGAAACTTAAATTTTCTTTAGTGACTACTACCCTCAGGAGGAGAGCTAGAGGGAGTAACAGGTTGTTCCCATCATGGTTTCTACTTGCCATTTTTGCAGGAGCAAGAATCATAGGAAATTAAATAGACACGCTGTGTAACTCTACTTAAGTATGTGACATCACAATGAATCCAGACCACTACCGCATTACACCCGATAAAGAGTTACAGACTGCAATTTACAAATTATTTAAAAAAAAAATTAGTCTGCCTAAAAAACAGCAATATGTAATTTGCACATTTTAGAACACGACTGAAATATTGATAAGTGAAACAAGTGTCTTTAATTTGGCTTGGGTATACAAAACTAAAGGGAAGTGGCATTATTTAAGAAAAATAAATGGCCTCTCAAGTGAATTTTTTATTGCCTAAATATAAAATGCTAGTTCAATTTTGAAAATAAAAATTCCCAGCCTTTGCCTTCTACCTCTTAGGTATACACTAATTAAGTGTATACAATAGCAATGACACTATTTTTATCAACATATTTTTCATCATCCAAATACTTTGACATAATTTGGGCACTGTATACTATACATATTTTGTGCATTAGGAGAAAAAAAGTAAATAGACTTAAAAAATGAATGAGATTTGGTAGTAATTTAAGTCATGTTTTATGATTTTAATTTCCATTTCCTTTTGAAAATTAGCTAACGATGGTGCATCAATACAGTTATCTAGAGTTCAATCCTAATGAGCTTTAAGAAAAAGGTCAACTTTGCCATCATTGATCTTCAAACAAAATGCTGCTTATGTTAATGACTAAAAAAAACATTTGAGAAGAAATGAGTTTACATCATCTGTCCCTCTTGATAGTTTCAAACACAGCAAAGTTAACTGGCATGTGAAATATCAATATTCATCTCTTTAGAAGGCCCCCACCTAAAGCATTTTTAATTCCTACTTTGGCCTACTACAAAACTAATATATACATAAGCTTCTGTGTAAAACCGTGAAACAGTAAATAAATTCTTTGACTCTTTGATGGACACATACATTCTTCAAACATTGTCCTGTACACCAAACTTTCATTTTAAAAAAAAGAAAAAAAATATGAAATTTTAGGAAATAATCTACAGAAATAAACAGTTTCTCTATGCCCATGGAAAGTTCCCATACTTCATCCCATTAATAAGTTATGTATGGTCCAAGTACAGGAAGAAGCAAGTAGTACATCAGTTTTCACCTAAAAGTATATGCCCCTTTGAAGTTCTTAATATCCATTTGTTCTTGGCCCTTGAGCAGTACTGTTGGCCAATGTGCAGACAGGAGGTTCTGAACTGGCTATAATCACCTATGTGATCCACTGCTTGCAACTTTCCATGAAGACTTCACATGACCACAGGAAAAAAAATAGACAGGATATTCAATGAAGTTCACTAAGCAGGCTACAATATTTAGCACAACTAGTGGTTCTCCTTTGCCTTGTATGCATTCTTTATCAACAAGCCACCAAGAATCTGTTAAAACCATATAGTTCCTAAAACAAATGTAATTCCTTCTAGAACAACTGCTTCTACATAGAAAACAAGTTAGTATTTAGGCTATGTTATCATAAGGATACCACCTTAAAATTAGTTTCCTTCCTAACATGAACTAAAACTGCATTAGACAAATTTCACTGAAGTATACTCTAACCTTGAAAATTCTTACCCAGAGGACACATATGTACTCTGTGGCTCCTATAAAAATGTTTCCGGTGCAATTCGTGCATAATAGCATCAATGGTCATAGAATCTACATGGAAACCTATAGCCTCACTAGAAAAACTTAGCATGAAGATCTCGTCAATGAATGGTTCATTCTACCTCACAGCAACATAAGATATAATGCCAGTTCCTAAGAGGATTGTGTCTCTTGTTCCCTCAGAGTGAATGCTGTTAAGGAAAATTTGAGAAGTTTAAAATGCAGTTAGTATGTTTTTGATGAAACATGGATAAAAAAGATGACAAGTTGAAGGTAATGAATCTATACTGTTATCATCTTTCCTAAATACTTTCTGCCCTCAAAAAATAAATGATTTCCTTATAATAAGCTTTAATGCATGTTCTACAACTACATATGCTGCAGCAGGAATGTTGGTATTCTTTTTAGTTTGGAAGACACTGAAAGCAAATGTTTGTTGATCCTGTCACTTCAAATATAGGGCAATGACCAAGGCAATGTCTGGAAAAAAACCAAACACTTTAATTTTTAAGACAACTGCAAGCACCTCAAACAATGGATTATTGTTACAACACTTGTTAGCTTTTCACAATCTAGTTATTGCAAAGGCATATGAATAAATGTTAATGGACAAAGTCAAGAAAAAAGAGGCACCTTAATGAATGTAAAATTTAAAATAAAAGACATTCATTTCACTGACATCTAAAAGAGGCTAAATATACCTCTATATATTAACATTCTAAAATTGTATTGCCTACTAATGGATTTTGTGTCCTGGATTCTACAATTAATTTTAAGGAAATGCATAAACAAAAACTGTGTGCAACCTGCAAAGGGAAAATCATTTTCTCATTCATGGAAAGACAAAGAAAAAGCTAGTATAAGCTGTTGTAGCCACACATAAAGCTGCCTATGGAATGAACGTGATCATTGTTACCTTTGAGCTGTGAAAAGTATTCTTCCCACTGCACTGCAAACTGTATATACCATACCTTGTGTTTAGACAAACACGATCATGCTTTTCCAAAAAATATATATATTTTTTCATTCCACACACTGAATATGTTTCTCTTGTCCAATTTCATGTATTTAACTTGCAGTGTTTGGAGGAGGCAACACAACGTGGTACCAGGCTATCACATTTTCAAAGAGAAATTGCTTTTTTTTCTTTTAAAGTACTTTAAAAAATATGCAAAAATACAAATGGAACTGCCCAATTATAAGGTATATTTTAGAATGAGAAGCATGTCTTTTCTTCTTTTAAAGTGCCATATAGGAAATGACACATCTTGTTACCCAGAGCCATTTTATTTAAAAATCTAATGTAAATGGACTGCTATGGAATGAAAAATTTGCACAACTCCTTGAAGCAGTGAGTCTGCTACATGCAACTTGGGCTACAAAGCACTAAGGACTTGGTAGCTTTTCTGAAAAATTGAGTCCCCATCCCATACTTAATGGAAAGTAACATTTACAAGGGTGCATTTACATACACTATAATACAGGAATGATGTCCCTTTGCCAGAAGATAAAATTGTACATTTCCTTGCTATTTCTTGGTTCCAACTTGATAATTTCTTAAGATTGTAAATTATATAGTACTCAGCTAAAATATTTCTTCATAAATAGTTACAAAACCTGCCAAAACACAAAGGGGAAAGTATTTTTCGTTCAAAAAAATGACATTTGAATGTCACACAACACGAGAAACAATGCTTAGAGACATGTTATTGTTTCCAGAAGAAAATGGTCAGTAAACTACTTAGCTGAAGACAAAGACTACCCTTCCCTAGGATCACAGTGCACAAAAAGCAAAATGTCAAACAACAGTACCTCAAAGCAAAATAAAGGTCTGAGGATGAAGCCAGCTCACTTGTAATCCTGTTAAAGAATGAGAGTCACCGTTTAGGTCCAATGTACTGGAAAACATTTGCTAGCTCAGAATGCTATATTTGTAGAATTTGCTAAGAATTCAACCAAGGATGTCGAAGGCATTCGCCAGCTGAGGCTCGTTTTTCAGGAACCATTTCTAACATCGGGATCAGGAAATCTGTAAACTGTGCAGCATCTTCATGGGGCCAGCCATACTTTTCTACAAGTACATCAAAGAGGCTCCAGGGCTTCAGCTTGGTGATGTGCCGCAGTTCTCCTGCAGGGAGGAAGAAGGGAAAAAAACCACACCAATATCAAGAAAGCTCCAAATTTGCATTTCCCGTAGTTGGTTCATCCGGGTTCTTTTCATTGAAGCAGACAACCTACCTACTCCACACTTTATGGCAACAACAAGGAACGCTAGGTTTCCCACCCTAAGCAATTATCACTGTGACCATGTCATATTCCAAATAAGTCTGGTGGATGTAAATAAGGATTAATTAATAGTTCATTCACCTCAGTTCTAGGTTAAATAGGTACACTGATAATGCTCAGAATGTTTTCATTTCCAAAGGCTGACAAAGCCACTTTCCTCCAAGTTGGGATCTTTGGTAATTTGCAAGCTTGCCTAGAAAAAGCTGTAGATGTACACCATTTGAAGTCCTTGCACAATTATCTCTTCATGTTATCATGCAAAGAAAAAGGAGTCTTTTCTTGTAGAATAGCACAAAGAGAACTTTTTGTGATGGTAGAGATGTATTTTTTATCTGTGCTATCCAATTTGAAAGCCCCTGGCCACATGTGGCTAATAGACATATGAAATGTGAGTAGTGCAATGAAGAAATAACATTTTAATTCGTCTAAATTTGACCAGCCACGCACGGCTAGTGGCTATTGGAATGGGCAACACAGCTTTGGAGACTAAACCAAACAGTTCATTTGTTATAAAATCTGAGTCCAAGGACATCTCTTCATAAACTTTAACCTATAATTGTCAAAATGTGCTAGCAGTAATAGAAAAAGTGCTACTCAAAAAAGCTGGGCTGCAAGCGACTCTGACTGATCTAACAGATGACTAACAAGCTAGTAAATGGTCTTTTTCGTAATAGGAAAAAAAAAGTTATTTTTAAATCAAACTGCCAAAAGGTCAGGGTAAACTGCATTATGAATAATTCATTTTCTTTGTTCAAAATTTTCACAGGACACCCCACCCCTGCCCATATAGAGGCCTCCTGGGTGCCCCTCAGAGTGGGCCCCTGAGCAGCTCCTGCAGACAGAGGAAGTACCGCACCATGCCATGCCCACGCCCCAGAGCCAGCCACAGGACCTGCAGCCACACAGCCAGGTCTCAGTGGGGCAGACAGAGGGATTCAAGCACCCAGCACCTCAGGCAAGGGCTGAGTCTTCTCTTTCCTTTCACCTGCTGTAGTCTAACCTACAAGGTAAATTCTTCTCATGTATATCCACAGAGAGTCACTACTACGCTCATGAAAGTCTTCTCAGGAGGCCTGGGCTGTTTTGTTTTATCCACTTATCCAAGTCAATTTAGAAACACCCTCCCCCCTTTAAAAGCATAACAAAAATAAAAGAACATTACAAAAAACAAAAGCAGAAATCACCTAAATCCTACCTCCCAGTGGCTCTTCCTTTTGGCTGCACTCTCTTTTGGACTGGTTTGTCTACTGATTTGTGATCATGTTAGACACAGAATTTGGTATAAGGAAACTTTCAAGAGGGTTTCTTATTGAAGAGAGTGAGGTGCCAAATAATATTTTGGTTCCAACGTGAGCCCTGGGATTGAGTTAAGCATTGCTTCTAAACTGGAGGTCAGGTCTATGTTTAATGAGGAAGACCTGTAATTTCAGTGGTGGAAGGGGTTGCTTGTGAAGGAAACAGTCTCTAAGAAAAAAGTCTGAGGAATCACTAAAGGTTTTTATCCCTCTAACCCAGAAAATCCAGTTCTAGGAATCCAACTTAAGGAGATAAAATCCTAGCATACCTTTTGCCCCCAAATATGCTCCACAAAATTGTAAAGTCACAAATGCTCAATAATGGGAGAATGGTGTTTAAAAAACACCAAGGTAAATCCACTTGAAAAATAACACAGGGGGAAATCATATGGGACAATGTAGGTAGTAACAGAACATGCTCAAAACTATGTTCTGCAGATAATCACAAGACTGATTTTTAAATACCCAGGAACATGGAAAGCAAATGAACCAAAATGCCAGTTTTCTTAGTTGTCAGGTTGTTTCCCTGAATCTTCCTATTTTCAGTAATGTTACTATCTTAGAGTGACTATTGATCCCATCAGAAAATACTAAAGAAAACTAAGACAGCTCACACATGACATGCAAAAACAAGTTCTCTGGAAGGGGAGAGAACTTTCTTGACATTGTTATCCTGTCTTGGAACACATACTCCACAAGTTTGTAGGTGAATACAAATGCTGAGAAACATTCTGCTCAGAATAGGAAAAGAACCTATTTTTGAGGGTGCCAGTTTCTAAACTAAAATCCTTCAATGGATATCAAACTAAGCATAATCATCTCTGTGTATCCACAGGGACTGGTTGCAGAACACCTCCCCAACACAAACACCACTGAGAAGAAAAAGTATTTGCATTAACCAATATATATTACACATTCTCCAGTATACTGTAAATCATCTCTAGAATACACCTAATACAATGTAAATGTTCTATTGCAGTTGTTATATTGTTTAGTGGATAATAACAAGAACAAAGGTCTATATGTGTTGAGTAGAGACACAGCTATTCTAAAATATATTTCTGATGTGTGGTTGGTTGAAATATGATATGGAATCCATGGATACAAAGGATCAACTATACAATCTTCCATGAAAAGATAAGTTGTATCTCTACAGATTCCTTAACAACTGCACAGTACACAATATCAGTGCTGGGAACATAGGCTATGAAAAAGTATTTAATCACATAACTAGCCACACTAAAAACTGATGTATATTTTCAAAGCAGCTAAGCATGGTGGTGCACAACTGTAATCCCAGCAACCTGTAATCCCAGCAACCTGTAATCCCAGCAACTTGAGTAGCTAAGGCAGAAGGATTACAAGTTTGAGGCCAGTCTCAGCAACTTAGTGAGACACTTTCTCAAAAAATAAAAAACAAAAGTGTGGGGGAGGTAGATCAGCAAAGCACCCCTTGCTTCAATCTCCTGTCCCCCCCCCAAAAAAAAATAAATATGCTAAGAGTAGCCTAAAATAGCTAACATACTTTTGGCTAGCTAATCTCATATAATAAACTGTATACAAAAACATGACTTAAAACAGCAAAGTATGCAATACTCAAAAAAAAAAAAAATCCTAAACTCCTACAGGCACTGAACATACAGGAGTACTAACCTAAGAGAACACAGGACTGTTTCTAAAATTAACAAACATGGATAATATAGATACCTTATGAGTATATGTACAAATCGTTATGTTTGATATAATACGAAGAAATGCTATCATATCAGTCATGGATGAGGTTCCTATTTTCTCCCCACTGTCCAATCAGCTCCCTAGCAAATTAAAGAATTTTTACCTTGGGCTGGAGTTTTTGCTCAGGGGTGGAGCGCTTGCCTAGCAAATGTGAGGCACTGGATTCTATCCTCAGCACCACATAAAAATAAATTAGTAAAAGTATAATAAAAATTTAGAAAAAGAATTTCTACCTTATTTTTTTCTTAAGAATATATACAAAGATGTCACTGAAACAAATCTGGAGATAATTAGATGCTTAATTGTGATGACTTTTACTTTTTAAATCCAGGTTTCTAGTTTTTGGTTTTTTTTTCCTCCTCCTTTTTTGTGGTACCAAGGATTAAATATAGGTACACCTATGATTAAACACACGTATGGTAGGCAAGCACTTTGTCACTACGTTATACACTCAGCCTTTGCTTCTTAAAATACTGAGCATCAGCTGGGCACAGAGGAACAAACCTGTAATCCCAGAAATTCAGGAGGCTGAGGCAGAAGGATCACAAGTTTGAGGCCAGCCCCAGCAACTTAGCCAAGAACCTGTCTCAAAAAGGGCTTGGGATGTGGCTCAGTGATTAAGCACCCTGGGGTTCAATCCCTGGGACCAAAAAAAGTTTTAAGGCAGGGGTATGTTGCTCAGTGGTAGAACATACCTGGGGGTTCAATCCCTAGTGCTGGAAAATAATACTCAGCATCATAACCTTTCCTGTGACTGTAAGTTATCAGCTCAGTGCCCACCCTTCCATACACACATGCACATAAGAGCTCCATAAGCCAGGTGGCACCGACTGCCATCAGGTACTATAATTTAGAGCCCCTCGGGCTTCTGAATTTGCTGAGAAATGTCTTAACAGAGCCAAAGAAAACATAGTAAGTAGCAGGGTTCCTTCTCTAACGTAGGGGCTTTGAGACCAACTGTATTTGCCAGTTCCAGATTACTTACATTTCTCTTGAATGTTAAATGATCTACAAGGAAAATGTTACTTTGTCCATAAAATTATAATATTCCAAAATTAAACAGATGCATGAAGTTTCATACCACATGGGAGGAGTAAAAAGGCAAATCCATGACACTATATTTCAGCAAATATTGGTAATTATAAAATGATTATGCTAAATTTCAGTATTCTATACATAGAAAGGAAATTTACCAATATATAGTGATACGAAACAAGAAACAAAATTTAAGAAATCTGAACAAATTCCTTCATAGGTATACAAAACACAAATAGTTGAGTTCAAAATAAATCCTCATGTCACATAGAAAAAATTAACTAAAAATGGATCAGACACCTAACTATAAAACTAAAACATTTTTAGAAAAGAAAAGTAAATCTTCATGGCCTTCAAGTAGGTAATGATTTCTTAAGTAAGCTATCTACAGCACAAGTAAAAAGATAAAGCAAAAGTATATAAACTAATCATCAAAATGAAAACCTCTGTACTTCATTCACTGGAATAGACAAAGGGGAATGAAGAGAAGGGACGGGAGATAGGAAAGACAGTAGGATCAATCAGACATCACTTTACTATGTTCATATATGAATACATGACCCGTGTAACTCCACATCATATTCAACCACAACAATGGGAACCTAATTAGAATAAGTTATACTCCATGTATGTATGTCAAAATATACTCTACTGTCATGTATATCTAAAAAGAATTAAAAAATTTAAAAAAACCTTTGTACTTCAACCATCACACATGTGCATTCAAGGGAAATGAAAACATATGTCCAAACAAAAACTTGAAAATTAATAATATCAG